GTCTACCCATTTACACTAATACTAATACTACTACTACTAATAATAATAATTATTATTATTATTATTATTAATATTATTATTATTATTTTATTTATATTCTGCTCTATCTCCTCAAAGGGACTCAGGGTGGATTCCAAACATAAAAGGCAAACATTCAATGCCTAAATACAACAATACATCCATACTAACAAAATTTATACAACCCAACATATAAATATGAATTATGACTTAAAAACTAAAATTAAATAAAAAGCACAACCTGTTATAACAGACATAAGACAAAACATCAAACATCAAATGGAAACAATAATTTCCCATTTCTTTGGGGCAAATCGATTAATCATTGCTCAAGATATCTTTTGAGCTGGTGAGGTGAGCAGGGCACAGATATGGATGGCAATTATTAATCAGAGGCATAATGGTAGTATTACCAACTACTATTCCTTCTCCTCATAAGCCAGTGAGCAAAGGTATGTCTTCAGCTGTTTTTTGAAAGCGGGGAGGGAGGGGGGCATTTTAACTCCTTAGGAGGGGAGTTCCAGAGGTGGGAGGCAACCACAGAGAAGGCCCTTTCTCTCGTTCCCACCAGTCGTGTTTGGGACAGGGGTGGAACTGAGAGGAGGGACTCCTCTGATGACTGCAGTGTCTGAGTTGGTCTATAGAAAGCTGCACTCCCTAAGCTAACTCTGGGCACTTCCAGATAGATCTTAAACCCGCACCAAAGTGGGTTTAAGAAACCCACTTCAGCATGGGTTTAAGTCCCCATGCCCACCCAAAAAAATCCGGACTTTCCTGGTAACTCCTGGAGTGGCATGGGGCCATCCAACCCCCCCCCCCCACCTTAAAAGTACAAAATGCTTTTAATTATAAAGTGTAGATGCACCCATACCTTCATTTAAAAATAGAAAACCATTTGAGAACAACTGCTCCAAGGAAAATATGAAATTGAAAGAAGTTATGTCAGGCATACATAATGTTGTACAAATATCTGATAGGCAGCATGAAGGTGAACACTCCCTACTGTTTGGATTGTCTTCATAGTCAGGGAGACTTGATATTTAAAGTGGTACAAGAGAAAGAAAGCTGATCCTGAGCAACTGACCCACTTTGGAATGTTTTTGTGTCAACTGATACATTTTGAAGTTCTCACAAATTCTGTATAAATCAAAAATGTGTATAGTTTTGTGACTGCATGCTCTAATTTCCAATGAGAAAATACGTTCACTGGGGGCTTGTGTTTTACTTCCAGTCTTTAAAAAAATCAGAGAGAGATTGAGAGAGAGAAAGAGATGTAGAACATACCAGAAGCTATTTCAGTGATTTCTGTGCTCTTTGTTGTCTTTGTCTGTGTCAGCAGCGGGATGCAAGCTCTTTGAGCCAGAACCCTTATAGTGTGACAGAACTATGACAGTATCTCATTGCTATCTGTTTAGTGAGTAATGGAAATGAAATATCCCCTCCAGTACCAACCTCAATGTTTTCTTTCTGGATGCACAATAGAAGATATTTTTCTCCTGCTAAATGTCTTGCACTCTGCCAGCTTTTAACAGAGTGGAGAATTGATATTTTCACCTCTGTTGCATGTTATATAGAGACTCTGCTCAAAAACAAATATTTTTTTACAAAAGCCATAACGATGAGTAAATCTCAGATGGATCAAACTTCTCATTTTGCCTGAAAAGGCTAGAATGGTGCACATATTGTATAACACTATGTGCTTGCACTGCAGTCACACAAGATATATGGATAGATACACAGATGTTACCAACCCTACAAACAAAAACATTAAAAGCTTTGGGTTGTTGTAGGTTTTTCGGGCTATATGGCCATGTTCTAGAAGCATTCTCTCCTGACATTTTGCCTGCATCAATGGCAAGGATCCTCACGGCCATATGGCTGTGCTCTAGAAGCATTCTCTCCTGACGTTTCGCCTGCCTATGGCAAGCATCCTCACAACTTCTGAGGATGCTTGCCATAGATGCAGGCGAAATGTCAGGAGAGAATGCTTCTAGAACATGGCCATATAGCCCGAAAAACCTACAGCAAGCCAGTAATTCCAGCCATGAAAGCCTTCGACAATACATTTCAAAGCTTTGTTGAAATTATAATCGTTATTAACAACAGAGACACCTGAGTCTTGCACAAAGAATGTGTAATGAGACTGTGCCTTGAATATTTCTGAACAAGGGATAAAAAGTTGTTCTTTATTTCAGTGCTAATAGCAGTACTGTTTTGCTATCCTGAAATTCATATCCTGGGACTTCTTTTCAAAGCAAATAAAACAGGATTTACATGCCTGATCAACACTTGCCATAACACTGTCCAAGAAGACAATAAATAATTCAATTTTTGAATCCATCACAAATTGGCTAATGAGGATTCACGTCTTTGAAGATACTAAGTAACAAATCAACACTCAACATTAGCAACACAATATTTGGGGGGAGGCCATTAAAGCAAAGGCAGAACAAACCCTACAACAGTTTTTATTTCTTAACAATTCATTAAAGAACAGTGACAACATTTTGACCTAAATGTTTTCTCCTTACATTCCTCTCTTCTTTTTTATGAAATCTGCTTCCAATTAGCTTTCTGTGCATCAGAATAGCTAGGTCTAAAACTGATCCTCTAAACCTCTCATCACAGCTGAACCACATACTTTTGCTTCTTACCGTTACGATTTCCTCATCCCTTCCCTTGCTTTTGATGCAGCCACATTAAGGTACAAAGAAGTGGAGTCTTATTTCTGAGTAAGGAGCCCACCCCAACCCTTCTGACTCCGTGTGTGGTCCTGCCAGTTTCTGGGGACAGAGCTTGATTATAATGATGGGAAATGCCAGCTTTGGATACGGTTGGCAATACACCCACTCCCAACAGTTTTCTACAGTTGGCAATACACATAAATCCAACACAGGGAGCATATGAGACAAGTTACAAGGAATAGCAATCTGTTCTACCACTAAAACCCCATGGAGTTGATCTTCTGCCATTCAAAAACCACATCAGGAGATGGCAGGCTAATCATCCATGTAGTTAATTCACAAGGAGATGCTAGCTCAATGTGGTGCTGCAGGATCAAGTTTTATACAGTAGTCAGTGAACACTTCTGTTCTACATGTTTACAGTACTTTGACCAATTCTAGCTTGTTCCTGACCACAGGGGCCATACATAAGTACACAAACACACACACAACTCTATATTTGCCTGTTGCTCTTGTTTTCCCACACCACACCTTGTTAGGAAATTGAGGGCTTTCTGCAGCGTCCGCACTCTACGTGGGATTGTCTTTGAAGACTGCTGGGAAGCTTCAAATGGTCCAACAAGTGGCAGCCAGATTTCTAACTGGGTTTGTGTACAGGAAGCACACAACTCCCCTGTTACGTCAGCACTGACTGCCAGTTTGCTACCAAGCACAATTCAAAGTGCTGGCTTTAGTCTATAAGCCCTGAATGGTTCTGGCCCAGCATACCTGTCTGAACACATCTCCCTCTATGAACCATCATGGAGGTTAAGATTTTCTGAGGAGGCCCTGCTCTCGGTCCCACCTCTTTTGCAAGGGTGGTTGGTGGGGACGAGAGACAGGACCTTTTCAGTGGTGGCTCCTTGGCTCTGGAACTCTCTCTCCAGTGAGATTAGATCAGCACCCTCCCTCCTGGCCTTTAGGAAGAAAACAAAGATGTGGTTGTGGGACCAATCCTTTGGTCAGTAAAATAACGTAGTCCAAAGAATAATTAGGAAATAATGTGAAATGACAATTGGAATGGCTACGGTATACAATTTTTGGATCATGTGATTTTAATATTTATTCTAGAGGGTTTTAATGCTTTGTCTTAATGTTTAAATGTTGTTTATGCCTTATGTTTAATGGTTTTGATTATTTTAATTTATAGTTATATGTATTTGTTTAGTTATGATTTTTTTCTTTCCTTTCTACATCTCTGTTGGCACTGAATTTTGCGATTAACATGTTGTAAACCAGCTTGGGTCCCTCCCCCCAGGGGTGAGAAAGGTGGTATATAAATATAATAAAGAAATAAATAAATACAGTCATTGAGTGCTATGTTTTTCTTTTCTCAATCCTACAATTAAATCCCTCCCACTCAAAGAAGAAGACCACACGTTTCTGTTGGCTTTTTGTTTTTAAGAAGTCTCTGTAATAACTGTGCCTTGATGCAAACTGTCACACTAAACTACGGCCCATCACAATGTTGTCTGACTTTCCATAGTGCATGATGATAGATGGATTAAAAAGAGCCAAAAGGAGCATGCCAAACCCAATAAACATCTGCTTATTTGCAAAGCCTTCCCACAATGTTCAGATTGTCCTGTTTTGTTCAGTGTGTCACTGTATTTTACTCAGGGAAGCTGAACGTTTCAATTTGAGGCAACTGTCCTTGGAACTTATAATGTATTTTCCTACAGTCTTTAATTACAAAGCACTGTGGTATTGTCCCCCAAACCCAGTGTTCTGGATTCATAAAACAGTCAAAGAAGGTCAATTCTTCACATAAACCTTTATGGCCTCTACTTTCAAGCAGACTGAAAATGGGAACCAAGTTTAATTCTAAATTACACATTGGAATCTAACCGTTTTGCTTTCAAAAAGTCACACAGAATGAAAAAGAGTTCCCTGACCTAGACACAACAAGGAAAAGCTGGAAACTTGCAAGGTGGAAAAAGTCTATACTTGTGAATGAAGAAAATGAACATGGAACAGCAATAATGCTCCAGTTGCAATTTTAAGTGATTGGTAAAGCATGTGTCAAGATAACCATTGCTTAATGAGAGGAATTCTTTGATAAATGGAACAACAGGAGTTTCAAGAAAACAATTATAAGAGAATGCAAAGTTTATGCATCAGTTTTTGTCCTTTGTTGTATTTTAATAGCGTACTTGTAATAGGCTGGTAAAGGATGCATCATAAACTGAGACTGACACTAATGGTTTTTTCAGGCAAATGGGACCAACAAAAAGGGAAGCACATAAAAAGCTTGCTTACCAGTTGAGTCTGCTGCAGATACTCCCCCACTGGTCAAATCTTCTGTATTTACAGATTGAAGATCTGTATAAGAAGGAGTGATACTTGGGCTGCTGGTGTTCTCTGAAGTAGTTGTCCAACTGCTATCTGAGGTAAGAGGCTGTTTTTCAGAGGATCCCAAGGGGGGACATGCCCAGCAGAATTTTTTTGGAGGAGAGTCTTAAGAGAGAAATAAATTTGTGGGAAGTGGGAGGCATCAAAAGGGAACAAGGGAGGACCATAAAAACATAGAGTATTACATGGTGCAAATTATCACTGGAATGTTTGTCTAATCAGTTATTGAATATCCTACTTTTTAACAAAGATGAAAACAAAATACTGCAAGGAGCCCATGATAATACTAAAGGATAATGAAAAAGGCAACCAAATCCGGTGGCACAAAGACAAAACTAGCAGCACAAAGACAAAAAGAGGATAGTCTGTCTACTGTCAATATGCTGTCCTCACAGTGAAATACATTTCACAGACTATGGCCTGTGACAGAAAAAAGGTTATTCATCACAGCTGATGTAAAATGCATACTGATATCTGATGTCTATCAAATTAAGATCAGGAAGAACTATTTTCCCAATTTTCTGAAGGGTGTACTTAAGGCAAGCCATTGTTTTAGTCAAAGCTGAAGCCCAAAGCCTTCACTATTCTCCTCTTCTACATAAAGAAAGTGTGGAGGTATCATGGAGGTTTGAAGTTTATGAGATGAATTACCTAATTCACAATAATCTTAATTTTTATATTGTTGCAAATTATCTGCACCGAACCATAGTCTACAAGTTGTACACATACAGGCTTTTTTCAAGTAATACCATTCTTTGCAAAATACAGCAAATCCCATTGCGTATACAGATTATCTACTAATTGTATGTACTTGAATTTTAAGCAAACAGATATGATCAACAGACAGATGGGTGAGGAAAGGACTGGGCTTGTTTCCATCATCCCTTTCACCTCTTCAAACACTTGTTCAGAACATGTGAGCAAAGCTGTTCTTTCCACCTCGAAGCTCCAAATCCAAACAGTTTCTATCATTTGGAATATGAAAGCTCACAGCAGAATACATTTTCATAGTTTCTAAAAACAAGCTCTATCTGGCTCAATAATTTTTCCAAATTTCTTTTGACTATCCTATACATCCTTATAGAGGAATGACATTCATAAATCAGAATGGGTTCCATGTAGCTTGTTGCTAATAAACCGATATAGGACTGCAATGTACAATTTTGCTACAATTTCTCCCCTCTTGCACAAGATAGTACTTTAGGAGATTCCATCTGAACATTCCTGACTGTGAGAGCTGTTCAGCAGTGGAACTCTCTGCCCCGGACTATGGTGGAGGCTCCTTCTTTGGAGGCTTTTAAACAGAGGCTGGATGGCCATCTGTCAGGGGTGCTTTCAATGCAATTTTCTGCTTCTTGGCAAGAGATTGGACTGGATGGCCCACAAGGTCTCTTCCAACTCTATGATTCTATAATTTGTTTGGATTTTAACATGCATTCAAGCTCTCCCCATTTTCAGTCAGTGCCTTCACTTTTCCTTAACTACACTGTCATCTTGCTTAATACTTTCCAGCTTCAGAGTGGATATATAATAAGCATTATGTCAGTCTTGCTTTATTGTGCCTCCCCAAGGATGCGAGATAAAAGTCCAAGTTATTTGGGCCATTTAGAATCAGACAGTCCTTGAGAGAAGCCTAGGCAAAAGGACACAAAACACAATAGAGCTTTTTCTAGCTCTCATTTTCAAGCCTCAGTGCATTTCAGAATGCTGCACAATCCAAAAACATATCCGACTAGTGACCTACTGACCTGTGACCTCAATACAACAGACAACTTAAATGAGGCCATGGGTGATTTACACTCCATGCCCTTACATTAACAATGTAATGTATGACATTTCCATCTATCCTGCTATATACCCCACTGGTAAGAATCAGGTTAACATGCAAGTTTTTCAATCAGCAAGGTAATTTACCACAATAACATTGCTGATATTCTTTCCTAAGACCTGTGTCACACTCTTAATTTAATTTATATCCAAGCGTTTTCCTAGCACAGATAGAAAGCAACTTAGGTTGAGGCACATAGGTTAGAAAAATTGAGCAAATTAGACACATTTATTTTAAGTATTTTACAATTATTAGCATCCAGCAAAATGTTTTGATTACAAGAGATAATAATATCAGGAGGGAATCACGAAATATCTTTTGAAAGGCCCAAGCCAAGTTCTGGGAAATTGTCATAGTTTTTCTGCAGGACTACAAACCTCCAGGTCAAATTATACAGAAGACCCTATATTTTGTCATCAAAGGAAAGGTGAATTATATTTTTCCTTTAATTTGCCCTTGATGTCAATCAAATTAAGTACTGTATATACTCAGGTACAAGTCTAGAATTTCTAATTGAAAACTAGGGTAAGTTATTCACAGGTCAGCATAAGTACTGTGCCTTAAGTCTTAACCCCAAAAAGTAACCATCTTTAGTGAGAGGTAAGAGCTTAATTCACCCTTCTAGTAAAATAGTAGAAGAAACAACGCCTTCTACTATCTCTGCCATAGTCATGATTTTCAAAGCTGGGTGGGGAAATGGTGCCCTCGATTTATACATGAAGTTAATTTATTCACAAATATATATGGTATAAACTAATTCATAGTTCATGTTACCCATAATAAACCTTAGTACAGAATGGCATTCCAACCTGTATGAGTTTGCTCCAGTGAAGTGCTAGTCCAGGGCGCATCCTCAAACTGGACCCAGGAGCTAAAGGATGAAGATAAATCAGGCTTTGGGGAGGGACAGTTTTCAGGTGAGCATACTGATGTGGATTCCACAGCTGGTTTGTCCACTGCGTCTCCCAAGTCAGCTTGTGCAAGAGTCTGAAATTCTTGATCGAGGTTTTGGATGCTTTCTGAGGATGTATCAGAAGAGGAAAGAAATCCCTCAAGTTGCTCCTCAGTATGGTCTGAAATGACAGCCAAAATGTAAAAGAATAATGTACCAAATGTGTCATGATTTCTTTCTTTTTTGAAGAGAAGTTTTTTTTTCATTCTTTGTAAATGTCTATGTCAAAAGAAGACTTTAAAATTTTCAGAACCTCAGAGTGGAAATATTTGCTATGAGAAACATAACAGTAAAGCAGTTCGGGTCCAGGCTATTTGTCTAATCGCATCTCTCTATACAGACCATCTTGGGCACTGAAGTCAGTGACCTGCTCTCCACTGAACTCTTGCTCCCACCCCTATCACAAGCACGGCTGGTGAGAATGAGAGGAAGGGTGTTCTCCATGATCGCTCCCCGTCCCTTCCAAAAGAAATAAAAACAGTCTCCACTCTCCTCTCCTTTAAAAAAAAACTCCTAAAAACGCACCCTTGCACTTTGGTATATGTGGAGGAGGAGGAATAGGGCACCTTAGACCAATGTCATTGGAATGCTGTCTGACCTATTTGTATCTCGTGGCCATTATGGTACATTTCAAGAACAACTATAACAGCCAATGCTCATCCAATTCTAATTGTTCTATTATGTTAGATGTTTTAATGTTCACCATGTTTTAAAAACGTAATCTGCTTCAAGTGATTAGCTGTTTTATGTCTTTCAGTTTGATGTTGAATTCCTTCAAGTAATTAACTCAATGCTATTATTTTGTATTATGTTTTATTGCTTTAATGTATTTGTATTTTGGGGGCATTGAACGTTTGCTTTTTTGTGTGTCCATCACCCTGAGTTCCCTTGGTGAGATAGGTTTTCTTATTATTTATTATAAGACATGCAATTCTTCTCTCCCCCCATTATAGACATTTTGAAAGATATTCTGCTACTTACCCTGCACCCTCCTGCTGTTGTGCTATGCATTTACCCATCCCTGTTACACAGTGATGTGAAGATGGGACAGTCAGTGTTGTAATGGTACATTCTGAAGTGCAAGGACTCACCATGACAGTCCCCTTAGCCACGACCCAATTTATTTTTTTTAAAATGCATGAAAATGCATGTTTGCCTCTTTCCCGATCAGATGTTTAGTAAATCATGTTTTTGTTTATGTGCCTCCAAGTTGTTTATGACTTATGGTGACCTGAAGATGATCCTATCACTGCTCTTTCATTTAAAAGCTAAATCATGGAGAGAACACTTATATGTTACCTAGCAAGAGTATTTTCATAAGAAGCTGTTTAAAAAAATTGTCTCTAAAAACAAAACTTCTAGTCAACCTCAGAATAAGTCTGTGACCATATTGACCAATAATGACTCCATCCACCCTAAGTGCATTGTTCAATGAAACAAAGTTTTGCTAGACCGTTTTCCTCTGAGTTCATTAGTCTTGTCTCATAAAGTACTGATATTTTATGAATTCTCATCTTGAGGAAATTTCTCATCTGGGAAAATGGAAGAGAAAAGGAAGAGGGGCCAACCAAGGGCAAAATGGATAGATGGTATCCTTGAAGTGACCGGCTTGACTCTGAAGGAGCTGGGGGTGGTGACAGCCAACAGGGAGCTCTGGCTGGGCTGGTACATGAGGTCATGAAGAATCAGAAGCGACTGAACAAATAAACAACAACATCTTGATAGAGAGAAGATCAAACCTTAGCAGTGAGGAAGATACACCTGGGAGAAGTGCTAATCATTTCTTCAAGATCTTACTCAGAAAGCTATGCCAATACAGAATTCGAAAAGCACAAAATCCCAAGATACCATCAGTCTGCCTCTCCATGAGAATTAATAGAGGTAATGTAATATAATGAGTTGTGTGATTTCACGGCAACCCAGAAAACTCTGGACTGAGTCCAAAAAGTAACATGTTTCATTTACCAACATGGTTTGATCTATGACAACAGCATATTTCATCAGAGAGAATGAACCTACCTTGCGAGGGAGCAGGTAGGTGGTGCCCATCATTGAAGCAGACCCAGTCAGCCTGCTGGGAAGCAATGACATTGGCCAGTGAGGTCATTATTTTTGCTGGTTATTATGCATCTTCACATCACTAGTAGACAATGCGGTCAGCAGAGGGCAAGGACCTTGCCCTTTTTACAAAGTGCTTGTTCTCATCTGAAAAGCAGTAGCTGTCAAGAAGAAGAAAAGACAGAGATATACAATTGAATCACACAAATTCAATTTAAGGGGGGAAATAACAGAAAAGAGCAGATTTGCCCAGAATTCCCCACTGGCATTCTTCAGAGGAGATGGATTTCAGTTCCCAGCACATCCCAACTGCAGTGGTGATTATGTCTGTGGATAATAGTGGTGGTGGAGGCTTCTTCTTGGAGGCTTTTAAACAGAGGCTGGATGGCCATCTGTCGGGGGTGCTTTGAATGTGATTTTCCTGCTTCTTGGCAGGGGGTTGGGCTGGATAGCCCACGAGGTCTCTGCCAACTCAATGATTCTATGATCACCACTGCAGAATCAGTCATGTAACCATCCAGATGTTATCTGACTGTGAACCCCAGCAGCCCTCGCCAACATAGCCATAGGAACATCGGAGTTGCAGTCCAACAATAGGAGGGTCACATGATCTCCCATTCTATTCTATAGTAATTATAGTGAAATAATATGGAGTTCAGGTTTCTTGTGACAAACTCAGTCCCAGTTGCGTCCTAACAACTTTGGTTCCATCTAAATTGCCATATAATGCAGTTTGAACTGCAGTGTCATCTCATATAATGCGGATTGAACTGGATTAAACTGGATTAAATGAGTCTACACTGCTGGATTATCCAGTTCAATCTGCATTATAATGGCAGTGTCCATGGGGCCTCAGATACACAGAGTAGTATCCCTTGCTTTCTCCAGCAAAATGACTCACTTCTCATTGCAAAATCTAAACAATAAAAAGGTACTGCGTAACTAGAGGTTTTATGTGCAGACTGCATTTTAAAACATAGTTTTAATATAATATCAATTATAATATTATACTCAACATTAATTATATAGAGTGCTGAGCCATAGCAGACAGAGCCCATTAGAAAATAAAGCCAGCATTAACACACAGATTGCTGAATATTTATCAATGCAAAGCAGGCAAATGTTCATTAGATCTCTAAAAATGCATAAAATAAACATACTTCAGAAATTTCATTTCTAAAAACTGTCTAGTAGCATGTTCTACAGCCATAAAACACATATATACACACGTACATAGATATATATTTATCCAATTCAACTTTCGTGCTTGCAAAAGTTGACTGGTTCATGCTCCCTTCCAAAACACTTGGAGTCCAGAGATTCCTGAAAAGATTTAATCAATTGTTTACTCAGTCTGGTGTCCTGAGGAGGTGGATCAGAGATATTCCTAGGACAATGGGATAATCCCTAACCCCTCACCCAGCAGGTTTCAACATAACTTAAGCAATCCTCTGGGTTTTCCCTTGTGTCTGGATTCATGGATATGATTTATTGGAAATAGATACACAATCAATATATTGAGGTCCACAGGCCAGGACAGACCCAAGGTACCCAGAAGAACTCTAATATCTTATGGTGACATATATATGCTTATGGAACTGTTGGGGTTTGTACATCTGGGAAGCTGTTCTGGCATCCTGCTGGGACGGAATCCCCTCAAGGAGTCAAAACAAATAGGAAAAGATTTTTTAAGTTACAATTTGGATCAGACTCTGGGTGAATATCTAAGGTGTTTCAGAAATATCAGATATGAACTGTGCCTCGTTAGGATTTGTCCTATATGCTTTCCATTTAGCTATCTCTATTTACACAAGCCTTTCCACTGTATCAAAAACTGGTTTCTTTTGTGGACTCATATAATCTCATTACAGACTCTTTGCATTATCTCAAACCATATGATTAAGCCAAAGCCTGGGTGATGTTCTGAATGGCTCCAGCTATAAAAGGGCAAATGGGAATCCTTCATCCTTCCCGCCACATCAGCGAGACCCCCAAGCCAAAAAAGCCCAGATCCTGGCTCAGCCATTTCTGAGCCAATCAGGGAAGGGAGTGGGTCTTTTGAGTAGCTGCAAAAGGGGGTAAAATATTTTGCGCTGTGCTGCTTGGGCATGTGCAATTCCTTTGAGCAGGGACTCTATCAGAAATCCTTTCAGGCCTGAAAGTATATTAAGCCTCTGTTATTGCCTTCAAACCCAATCTATATTTCTTCATCTGGTTGTCAAGGTAGCACGAACATGTTGGGGATGGACCTACGCCGCCCCTTTAGCGGACAGCTGATTTCGACTAGAGAAGCAGCACCTCAAGCACGAAGATGCACTTTTGAAAAAAAGTGGTATACTTAAATGTCATCTAGACTAATCCTCTATGGACACAGTAAATCCACTATTTTTAAATTCCTCCTTCTTTTACGAGGATTGAATGAAAAGTAATGCCTCCACCTTCGTTACTTGGGTTTGGATGGGAATATTTTAATAAATCAAATGCAGAAATAATCCTTAGAATGTGCTCTTTAACTAACACTATTCACTTTTCCAAATAATCACCAGACAATTGGATACATTTCTGCCAACAATAAACAAGTTTTCTTTTTTTAATCATTTTTATTGCATTATAGTGTAAATACATGTAAAGTGGGGGAATAATTGTGGAGGAGATAGAAAAGTAGGAAATGATAGTGGGGGATAGGAAGTGTGGGGGTAGGTAGGGGGGGTTGGCTGAAGGGCCGAATAAAAGATACAGAAAAAAGAAAAACACACACAAAAAAAAAGGCCCAAGAGAAAATAATAATAATAATAATAATAATAATAATAATAATGAATAAAATAAAATAAAAATAAAAAATGGTGTGACTTCCATCTGTTCTTTGAAGATCTTCTATAGTTAGTTCAAAAGTTAGACAAACTTTCTTTCTAAGTAGTCCAGCATGCTTTCCTGCGACACCGTTATTGTATTTTGTCTTATTGTCCATCAAGAAATGACCTCTATTTTTTGTTGTTTGAAGTAGTTTTTCACTAGTTTTCTGAAGCCATCACCGAAGAAGTCAACACTCTGTTTCCGCAACCAGTGTCTCACAGTTCTCTCATCCTGGGTACCCATCATGCACAGATCTTCCAATAGTCAAGCAAAGCAATAATGTGACCCACACGTTCTTGTGAAATGCCAATTATGCTTGAAATTTCTCTCTGAGTGATACAATGATAGTCCTGAATCAATCTGTCAACATTTGCTTGTGAAACTCGGTGGTTGCTGTCACAGGACGTCCAACTCTTTGTCACGCAAGTCAGATGTTCCCACCTCAACATCTTTAAACTTACTTGCCCAACAACGCACAGCACTCATATCAACACAATCACCATAAACAGCTTGCATTCTCTGATGAGTCTCCTTTGGGGTGACCCCTACTGCTGTCAAGAATTCAATGACTGCACGTTGCTTAAGTCGCATTGACCGACTGTCTGCACAGGGTTCCATACTTCACACTTTAACAACACAACTGTTCAATGCTAAGGCTTCCTGCCACAATGGAACTGCAGAGGAGAGTCTACTGAACAAGCCAGTACCTGCTGCATACCAGTACTGCCATCTGTTGAGGAGTTACAAAGGTGGAGGCATTACTTTTAATTCAACCCTCATATTACTGTGAATAGCACAGTGTGTTTCCAATTTATGGCGACCCTAAGACAAACTTATCACTGATTTTTCTTGGCAAAATTTGTTTAGAGGGATTTTTGCTTTTGCCCTTCTCTGATGCTGAGAGAGTGTAACTTGCCCAAGATCGCCCCAGCAGGTTTCGATAACTAAGTAGGTTTTTAAAGAGTGTTTTTCAGTGTTGTAGTCCAAATCACTACGCCAAGCTGGCTCTCTAGCACCAAATGGTACCCTGACCCTAAATAAATCCATGGAAACCTTTTAGCAAGGATTTTTGTGGTTGGGCCATGGCACAAAAACAGATTCTGATGCTGAGATGTGAGCCCTGGCAAAACTGAAGCCCTCTTGGAAATTCTCCCCATCTCCCACCCCACTCATGTTTATTTAAACATTTATACTGTTTCCTTGCTCAGTGCAGAGAAGCAAACTGACAAGTTTTGTTCAAAACTAAGAAGTCTGACTATTGCCTTATAACTGTCTTTTCCCATTAAAGCTTTATGGTGCTATTAAATGTGAATGTGTGTGATTTTTTGTTTTTAAAACCTATCTCCACAAAATACAAGTGGGGCTTTAAGCAAGCAGGCTAAGTTGCTGTGGCCTCTGTTCAAGACATTTAAGGTCACAAATGGTGTGTGTTCTTTCTAGTATTGCCCTTGAGACCGGGAGGGATAGTTTGACTTCAATATCTTGCAGTATTATTTTCCCACCTGACTAATTCAAACTGTTCTTTTGGCTTGCTTGAATAACTGTAACATGAGTAATTTCCAAATAGAAGGCTGATCTCTTCCAAGCATTTTCGGTGAGAAACTCTTGATGGAACTCTAAATAGGGCAAGACATGAAGAAGCAAAACTCTTTATCTTGAGTTTCACACACTTAGTGAGCCTGAGATAAGGCTTTCGACTCCCTTCCTTCCTATTCTTTTTAAGTGTCCCTAAAAGCCATTGGAAAGAGACAGGAAGATAGGCCTCAGCTAAGATAAAATGGCTTGGTTCTCTGGTTTGACACTGTTTATATCCCACCCCTCCCTTTCCACACCCAGAAAAAACACCATATATAACCCTCCCAAAACCAAAATAAAACTAATCAGTGTTGAGTGTCTAAAAATTATGCCCTACAGTTGGACAAGTTGAGCCTGGATGCCCGGGTTTTGGTGGTGGCCAGGGGAGCTTTCACACAATTAAACTTGTGCACCAGTTGCACCCATATCTTAGGAAGTCAGACTTGGCCACGGAAGTCCACGCTCTAGTTACAACCTGAATAGATTACTGTAACGGGCTCTATGTGGGGGTGCCTTTGAAAACTGCTTGGAAGCTTCAAATGGTCCAATGGATGGCAGCCAGATTGCTCACTAGAGCAGCGTACAGGGAGCATAAAACCCCGTTATGTCAGCTCCACTGGGTGCCAGTTTGCTACCGAGCATAATTCAAAGTGCTGGATTTTGCCTATAAAGCCCTAACGGTTCTGGCACAGCTTACCTGTCTGAACGGATGGATCTCTCCCTATGAACCACT